ATTTGCCTGGCTGAACCAACAATGGAGAGTCCATTTATATTTAAATGATCTGAAGGGGAGGAGAAAAGACAGGACTTTTCCTGGTTTGCTGGGAATCTTGCCCTGGTTATTTGTGCAAGAGTGTGTAATGTCTGGTAGGAGGCACCAGGAGCAGCAGAAGCACGCAACCCGGGAGATATGTCCTTGTAGACGGAAGGTGAGGACGGCTTGTGGTAGTCATGAGAGACGAGGTATGCTACAGTAAACAGCAGCCTCCAAAGTGTCGATACCCTAAATAAGGCTTATTCCTCTTGTTAAATGTACGGGGAGCAGAGGAACGGCTCTGCCCAGGATAGTCACTCGGCAACTGCTGTGGAAGCTTCTGGAGTCCCCAAAGGCTTCTGCCTGAAAAGTTCCACATGATCCCCCCCTCCTCATAGTTCATTGCTTAGATCTGGTCACATAGCTTAATTCACACAAAGGAGGAGAGAAGATTAATCCTCTATGGAGTCAGGGGTAGAGTGGAATTGAAGATTGGTGATGCCTCCCAACCTGGTTGTCTGGGTTGAATGGTTTACTGACTCAGTTTCCCTGGAGCACAGGTGCTCCGAAATTTACTGTCTCCCAGTTCTGGAGGCCAGGAGTCCAAATCAGCGTGTCGGCAAGGTGGGTCCCTTCTGAGGCCATGAGGGAGTCTGTTCCTGGCCACTCTCCTTCATCTGTCGATGGTCATCTGCTCCCTCTGTCTCCTCACATCATCTCTCTCCCTGTGCATCTGTTTCTTTCTAAAACATTTTTTTTTGTTTTATTCATTATTGAGACAGAGAGAAATAGAGCATGAGTGGGGGAGGGGCAGAGAGAGAGGGAGACACAGAATCCGAAGCAGGATCCACACTCTGAGCTGTCAGCACATAGCCCAATGTGGGGCTTGAACCCACAAACTTCGAGATCATGACCTGAGCCAAAGTCGGATGCCTAACCGACTGAGTCACCCAGGCACCCCATATCTGGGTCTGTTTCTGAACTTCTTTTATAAGGACACCAGTGCTATTGGATTCGGTATGACCTCGTCTTACTTAACTAATCACATTTTCAGCGTCCTATGTCTAACCTGGGGGTCAGGACTTAAAACAGGAATTTTTTGGAGGATGCAATTCAACCCATGACACCCAGGGAGGTGGCTTTCCTGGGGCCCGGCCACAGTGGTGCAGCGCCCTCTAGCCGACTTCAGCCATATCCACATCCTGCGTGAGCCCAGGCAGGACCCAATCCTTCCTGTTTGGGGCTCCTGTACTTTGTGTGTCCCTCTGCTGCTTCTGGTGTATCACCTGGTGTTGTTTAATTAATGAGCTTATTTCCGTTCCCAGCCTGAGGTCTCCTCCAAGGTAGGGACTCGCTATTTCTGTCCGGGAGCCTCTTTGGGTGCCTCGCACAATAGTCAGCGTTATGTGCTCTAGGGGCTGAAGAGTGAAGGCTTCCACTCCACGCACGGCCCACGGCTATGAACGAGTTATTTTGCAGTGTTAGGAGTAGGGACCACCGTGGGGGACCCTCACAGCTGGAATGAGATCACACCACATTTGTAGAGTTCTCAAAATGCAAAGGGACAAAGGGAGATTACCAGGGAGGCAGTACATGGGCTCATTTTGCTTTTTTTTTTTTTTTTAAACCAACGTGCATGCTTGGAGAGGAACTCTCTTAAGAAATTTTAATAGCGAAATCCTAGTAAACTCAGAAGATCTGTTTTGTGATAGCATCTAAATCCAGATTGGTTGTTATTAGTGTAATTTTGCTTCAAACTGTAAAGGAATGAAAGACAAAAAGGAAGAAGAAAGATGAATAATTAAGATCCAGGAAAAGACAAGTTTCCAGTTTGATTAGACCTTGACAAAGGACAGTCGTGTTGCTAAGTGAGGCTGCCTGCCTCCCGATTGATGTTTCCACCCCTTATTTTTCAGTGAAAGAACAATTCATTTTTACTCTGGAAAGGAGTAAACATGCAAAAACCCTGCAAAGGAGAGAGGGAGAGAGACTCTGATCACACTCCGCAGGCGCAGTGGGAGTCCTCATAAACATTGCTCTAGCATACAGTAAGATAGGCTTCTGGTAACCCACTGGGGTAAACTGAGGCACGTAGCTTCTCCTCGCACTGCTTTTGTGGAGTATTTTAGGAGAGCTGAGCATGAGGAGAGCTCATCACCGGGGGCTCCCCCAGTGCAGGGAACGTACGAAGTGAAACGACCTTGCCTCCCTCATTCAGGAAACAGCGATGGCTTTCTCCCTCTGTTCTGGAGTTCATTCTTCTGTCCAGGGGGTTGGTCTCCCAGGACAAGTCCAGGGCCTCCAGGGGGCCGGCTCCGTTCAGGAGGGTCAGGGCTGCATGGGAACCCCCTGCACAGGAGGCGGGCCCAAGTCTGTAGGTCCCGGAGGAGCCCCGTTCCCCCGGCCCCTGCTGGGGGGCCGTTCCTCAGGCCTGGGTGTGGCTGGTCACTTACACGGGGCCGGGCGGGGACTGATGGTCACCCGTTCCGTGGCCCAGCGATCTCAGGCTGCAGCTGCCACCCAGGCGCTCAGTCCGGGGGATCCGGTGTTTCTGTTGCAGACCCGAGCCGCCGTGTCTGAAACACGCCCACTGCACAGGGTCCTCCAGGCCAGGAGGGATGCGTGCGACAATGTGACATCCACATTATGATGAGCCCAGCTCCAATCCCTGTGTGTAAGTGGGTGCTGTGGGGGTGCTGGGGTACTCAGTCACTGTCCAGGTCAGCCTTCCGGCCTCAGCCGGACCTGGCCAGCAGCTCTGAACCCCAAGGGGAACGGTCTGCGTTGAGGTGCCTGCCCTTGCAAAGGCCAGAATGCTCCTTTAAGGGATTTATGTCCCACCATCGTGGCAGAGTGCATGTGTACTTGAGCCTCTCTCGTGTTCCTGCACAGCCCTCTGGCCTGGTGGCTTCCCTCAAAATGCTGCAAGTCTCGCTCACAGTCTCTAGGGCTAGAAGCCAGCTCCCGGCTGATGCCATCAGCTTCTGCCTCTGCGGACATCCTACACACTGCATGTTAAAGATATTGCGACTTCCCTATCCTTCCTAGGGGTTTAAAAAAAAGCCTTAACTTTATTTGATTACCAAATGTCTGATTTTTATATAACCAAAGTGATTGATATTTTCCTTGTGACATTTTCCCCAGTGCTGTCATGTGTAGGAAGTCCCTTATGGATTTCCTTTGCACATATTTTTCTAATCCATCCCAAATTTACTTTTGACTATAATGTGACATGAAGACCCAAGTTTATTGTTCTTCCCAAAATGCCGGCCAATTTTTACAGTAGCAAATGCCGGATAATGTATCGCCTCCCCGCTGAGTCAGGCTGTTTGTTTTTTCTAGCTGGGGGTGGATGAGCTATCTCATAGGTGGCCTTCAGGACAAGTGAAACCAGTATGTGGACAGACCCAGGAGCCCATAGGTGGCAGAGGGCAATGCCAACAAGATGCTCCTGCTTGGTGACCTCATTAAATGACCATCGGGGCTCAGACTCCGGAAGCCAGGGGTCCTGCCTCTAAGTTGCACAGAGTGACTCTGAACTTCCACAAACCAGGATTCCAGCAGCCCGAGTAAGCGTCTCAGGCATGGCGCCACTGGATTCTTAGGAACCTAAGAGAATAATCCCAAATGCTCGCCTTGTTTGCCTTGCTAGGCGGTTCACTGCACCGGGTTGGTAGCCATGTGCCTGGGCAGTCTTCACCACTTCCCCGGCGGGAGCCGCGTGTCTTGCACAGCACAGGTGACCTGCGAGGGGTTTGTCAGGGTGGAAATGACATGCGGCCATTTCCCTTGCTCCCAGCTGCTCTGAGTCCCCCCGCAGAGAACGGGCGGTCGTGTTTTCCAACAGATAAAGCCTATGCCGTGCATCCTTTCCACCGTTTACCTTCCACTTCCGAGTCCTGCCCTTGGAAGAGACTGTTTCCGGCATCACTACCCAGGAAAGCGGGCGAGCTAGTGAGCACAGGTTCTATACCCTGTACCCCAAATGCCAGTGGGATGGTGTGTCTGGGTTTGCTCTGGAGGATTCAAGGCACCCGGCCCGTGACACAGGAGCGTGAAGGACAGGCCTGACTTGTGGGTGAAGGTTAAAGAGGAGCTGACACAGATTTCTTTCCTTTTTATCATGTCCCAGATGAGGCAGATGGATTTTTGTACCAAGAGACATTTGGGATGGAACGGTGGAGATATCTCAGATGAAAGCTGTTAATGGGATCATTTTCTAATACATCAGAGCTGTGTGTGTGCTTGCACAAGTGTGTATTCTATGTATATAATACACTGTATATTATGTATGTTGTATATATCATATTGTATATTTGCGCAAATACTATATGTATATATTATACATCAAAGCAATATATCCATGCATTTGTGAATTATATTGCTTAGTGCTACCACATCTGATTAAAGAAAACATTTCCGGAATATTTCAGAATATTCAGAAGGGGTTTGTACTAGGTGCCGACCTGTTGGGCTAGCAACCTGCGGATACTTCTGTTCCGTTACATTGTCCAGTGTTCAGCTGTGGCTACATTTTTAAAGCAGGACAGGAAGCAGCGTGTTGCAGAAAATCTGGGAACTAGGAGAAGGGCGGAGGTGAAGGGGAAAGCACATTTATTGAGTGCATTACTCCTATTTTAAGGCTGTGGTCTAGTGATGGGGTCAAAGAGCAGAAGAAGCCGCCTCGGTCGAGGTCAAGAAGGGGTCTGTAAGACGCACAGGAGAGCCTGGCAGGTGGCCCCACCTCGCCGGGCCTCTAGGGAACGGCTTCGCTGGTGGTGGGGAGGGGGCGGCCTCCTGCTGTGCTGGTGGAGGCTGCTGTGGGGTGACCCTCCTGAGCACACATTCCACGCAGACGGGACCTGCCCATCTCCACCGTCCACAGGGTGAGAGGCCTGTGGCTTCCAGTCTCCGCGAGGGCATCCGCGGCTCAGCCTTGCAGTAAACCCGTGGCTTTCTCTCTCTTCTTTTATCCCCAGACAGGAATCACTTCCCTGTATGACTGCGTTTTTAACCAGAGCCCAGGCTACAATCAGAAGCTGCACCGAGATGACAGAGAACATGCAAAGAGCCTGGGGCTTCACGTGAACGAGGAGGTAATGTGGAGACAGGCTGCTGACAAGCGCTGCCCCGGCCCGCGTGTGTGGCCCTCCTGTCCCTCCCTGCGCCCGGGGCCGCACTAGGCCACTGCCGGCTCCCTCTCTTGGGCCATGCGTGCCTGCATTAGTCTTTATGCCTCTGCTGTCGAGTTTACCAATTTAATGAAGGCAAAACTAAGAAGTTCTTTTCAACAGACAGAGCAGGTTTTTGCTTAACTCCTAAGTCCCGGCTGTCACAACTCTTCCGAGGACCGTGGCCCTGCTGGGGAGGGGACCACGCCCGCAAGAATGACCTTCCTAGTTTAGGAACTGGCCTTGAACCTCGACAGACGGGGCAGCCCCTGCTGTATCTGCGCACGATTTTCTGACAGCTCGGGCCCTGCCTGCGGTCAGCTGGCCACCTGTGTGAGCAGCGCCAGGAGCAAAGCTCGTTCCCGGGGAGGGGAGGTCCGGGCCAGGTGCCGGGGCTAAGGAGGCTGTGGGGGTCCTTAGCGGTGAGACCTTCCTGGGGTCCTCCCCTACTCAGACACAGTCTCTGCGGAGTCTGATCTGAGGACAGTGTGTTTACCAAGAGCCGGGTGCTCAGTAAATATCATCAGCTTTTCTACGAAGCACAGAAAGCAGAATGTAAAAGCGCCCAGTGAGGTCAGCGCCTTTGGGCCTGTGGCTGCTATTGTCTAAGAACGTCCCCGGTCCCTTCCAGGGAGACTTTGTTTCGCTGTGACATTAGTTGGGGACGCTGCGGTATTACTACTGAAGTCACAGGCATTACGTTTTTTCCTACCGTGTTTGTTTACGTGGATTCGTTCCGAGTTGGTAGTAAGGCTTGTGCTTTCCCCTCTCAAGGACACGGCTGGCCCGCTGGTCCCCAGCCCAAGGTTGAGCCCCCCCCACCCCGCTGTGGGCACTGAGCGTAGAGGGGATACGACAAAGGTCCCTGTCCTCTCAGAGCTCACATTCCTATGAGGAAATAGAAACGTCAAGTTTCATACAAATAAGGAACTGAATCCCAGGTGGTGATGAGAGGTGTGCAGAGGAATGAGGTGTTTTAAGGGGAGCAGGGGAAGTAAGAGGGGACTGGGGAGCTGGGAGGTGAAGGGGGCCGGGGAGGTGATGATAGGCTTGGGCTTAAGGGAGATGAGGGGGGCATGGAAATGAGGGGGGCATGGAGATGCGAGGGAACCAGGGGGATGGGGTGCTGGGCAGTTGGGGTGTTGGGGAAACAGGGAGCAGGGAGATGACCAGGTGGAGAGAGGAAGGATTTGGGCAAAGCGAGAAGGTGGGAGAGGAGAGAAGCAGACAGGGGAGCACAGGAGGAGGGAGGGAGGAGGGAGGCGGATGGCAGCCTGAGGTCAGAGGGCACGTGGCACCCCATGCCACATCTTCGGCTTTCCTCTGGGTTACACGAAGGACTTGGGGATGACGAGGGCCTCTGAGCACAAGGGGCAGGCAGGTCTGGCATAGTTCAGGGGGCGCCCGTGGCATCAGGGAGCCCGGGTATGCAGGAGGCAGGTGTGCGAGAGCCAGGTGGAGATGGCCTCCAGGCGGGTAGCTCCGACCCTGTGTTCCGGTCACCCCGCCAGGAGCGCCAGCGCCCCGTGGGAGTGCTGACGTCCTCTGTCTACGGGAGACGCATCCACCAGCTCGTGGAGCCCCTGAACCGGGACCACGGCCGTGCCAACCACGTGAAGGCTGACTTCTACAGGAAGAACGACATCCCCAGCATGAAGAGCCCCGGCTTTGGGCACATTTCTCCTGCCTGATGCCCCAGCTGCGGCCTAGACTGAGGGGTGGCCCAGACAGGCAGTGCTGGGGCTTTGTCTCCCCTAGCGTGGAGGGCACGGACCTGGCCGCAAGCCACGTGCGCCTGGACAGTGGTGGGGGAGGGGGGACCAGCCTGCGTTGAGGACCCTGGCTGCAGCTTCCGATCCCTGTGACAACCATCTCGCGTGATCGCATCCATTGAAATGATGCTAGACACTGAGCCACGGGGAGCGCGTGAATAAAAAGAAAATTGTTCCCACTTGATAGCGGTCGGGTGACTGTTCACTGCCTCTCCAGGGAGGTGCTCCCCGCGGGGCATGCACGCCTCTCTCCCCGGTTATGGGAACCCCGCTGCCTGCTTGCATTTCCCTTCCTCCAAGAGGAGGTATCAGGAGAGTGCCTTTCAGAACAGTTGAACTTGAGATACTCCAACACACACACACACACACACACACACACACACACACACACACACACACACACAGGTCTGAGCTGTAAATAACAGGAGTTTGCACAATTGAGGACAAACCCTTAGGATGGGTGGTCTCTGAGGCCGGCAAGGTCACATCACTCCTCAGTGGAGAAGCACTCAGAGGTCACGGGAAGAGATTAGGCTTTGACGTTCAACAGACTTGGGTAAGACTGGGCGCCCGTGTTTTCCAGCGGCACGTACGGAACCCATCACCTCGCCCAGGTGAGCCCACGTTTCCTCATCTTCAAAGTGGGATCTCCAAACCCTGACGGGTGCGTGTGGGTGTCACGGGCCGCCTGAGCGGGTGCCCTAAGGCAGGCACAGTGGAGCCTCGCACTGTTCCTTTGAATCGTTTTCATTTTGGGAACAGCCACTTCTAACCCAACTTGGAAATGTTTACTTTGGAGAGAATTTGAAACGTATTCAAGTATTAAGATACTGGCTATATTTGTAATGAATGGGTCTCTGGAAAGAAATCCTCTCTCACCTACCATGATTACATTTCCCTCAGCCCTGGTGGTTGATGAGCAGGTGATCTAATTCATTTCCACATTGAGTCCCCCGTGGCTGGTTTTATGGTTTTGATGCTCTGAGGCCATGTGACACTGAATTGTTGACAATTTCAAGGCCGAGTGTTTCCTACATATTTCTTTATTAATTTGAAAATGGTATATATTTTTTCATAGGTATCTTTTATTAGTTCCACACCCCCCCACCCCCCACCCCCGCCCCGCCAAACAAATATGGGTAGTTTATTTGGAACGCCTCTGGGTACATTAAGCCACATATATAATAATATAATAGAAAATATATAAATTTTGGAATATGGATATTTTTACAAAGTACTCTTTCTTCAGCTTTGACTGCCAAGCAACACAAGGCATCTCTATGAAATGCCTTCACCTGAACATGATTACAATAAATCGGTGTGAAACAAAATTATTTATGGTTCCTTTAGGTCAGATCCTACTCCCTTAACCTTCTACTTTCAACAAGGAGGGCCTGACTTGGACAAGGTTTCAAAAGACCTCATGTTTATTAGACATCAAGGGAAAATGAAATGTATTTCTGTTGGCTTCTTGACTTTGACAACTTAGAGCCATTGAGTGCCCGTCAGTCACTTCGTGGAAGAGGAACATCTGACTTCTCAAACTTCGCCGGTTCGGCAGCCTTTCTGGGAGAGCAGAGTGGATGCCGTCCTCAGGAAAACACGCAGAAGGGGGGACAGAGCAACATGAAGAATTCACAACCATGCAGGCATTTCTGGACGGACGTGTGAAACACCACAGGTGGAAGGGACCCACACGCAAGGTGTTTTCACGAGAGGGCTTTCTGCGAGACCTGAAGGTTCGGGACAGCTTGGAGCAGAGATGCTCGCTTGCGACCGAGGTCGCTGGGCCGACGGGGTGAACTGCCAGGACTCTCATCCGCGTGGTTTGCTCACAGGACTATTTGTAGTTCCAGACCTGAGGAAGCCTTGACCAGGAGGCAGTCTTTCAGATTCAGGGAGCAGGCAGGCTTGCATTCTCTGCTTGGCGTGGACACTGATCCTTGGGAAACTCTGACCAAGCCAAGCCCCTGGACCTCTCTGCATGGGTTTCCTCATTTGTAAAGCACCAGGGGACTCAGGCTGGGGACCAGAATCAGCTGGACAACGTGTTATCTAAGCACAGAGCCTGTGTTGAGAGTCCCATGGCCAGGACCTCTGACTAACTCGGCAAGTCTGGGCTGGGGCCTGAAAATGAGGCGCTGCCGCCGCTGGCTGGGGACCACACTTTGAGATCTGCATGTGCGCGGACCTTTGCAAGGTAGACTCTGATAATGATGTGACATTTAAAAAGTGTACTGTTTGGGGGCCGCCTGGGTGGCTCAGCTGGTTGAGCGTCCAACTTTGGCTCAGGTCATGATCTCACGGTTCCTGAGTTCAAGCCCCGCATCAGGTTCTGTGCTGACAGATGCTCTGTCTCCCCTGTCTCCACCTCTCACCTACTGTGCTCTCTCAAAAATAAATGAACATTAAAAAAAAAAAATGTACTGTTTGGTAAGCCTGGTAATACAGTTCTGGGGGAAAAACACAATTCTCCTTTTGAGTTCTTTCCACCAAATTCAGCATATTTTCGGGGGGTGCGAAAAGCCAGGGTTAAGAGCGCTTGGCAAATCACCCAGCTATGGGTATCTGCTAGGGGGAGGCGACATGAAGTGCCCTGGGAGGGAGCTGCAGGCCCCAAGGGAGGAAGGGCCACAAGGCGTGGCTGCCGATCATTGTTACCAAGGACACAGGAGGCAGGTCTGAAGTCAGGGACACCCCAGGGCCTCCCAGTCCACATTTCCGTGAGAGTGATGACAAACCTCCTTATACTACTTTTTTTCTTTCGGTCACCTTTCTGGAGAATTGCCAACGCTGAGTTGTAATTCTAGGATCAAGCCCTTCCTGACGGAGGCGGACCGTGGAAGAAGTCATGCTGTATTCCGCTTCGGCGATGAACGCCAATTAGGGGTTTCGGAAGTGCTTTTATGTGAGTCTGAGCCCTGGCAGGGTGGTGCTGGCAAGAGATAGCGCTGGGCACCGGCCAGGCTGTCGCACGGTCATTAGCGCTTTCAATCAGACCTGATCCCGTAAGCTACCCATGAGGAAACAGCCCCAAGAGAAATTAAGAGACACGTTCAAAGTCACACGGCCAGGAAACAGTCAGTCAGGAATCCTGCGAGGGCCTGGCGCTTCAGGTCCGAGCTGCCAGGAACCAGGTGCTCCTGGTGGGTGGGGGGTCCTCCACCTCTCACACACACCTGCCTTGAGCTGCAAACAGAAGCCAAGGGCGCCAAAGCAGGCGGCACGTGAAGCTTTGCTTTTGAACATCAGACCATGCGCGGCTGCTCTATTTGCACCCTTTGGCAAAGTATGAGTTCTTTATGTGAAGAAAAAGCCTCGAAACTCTAGAGTTGGATTTACTAGAACAGAATTCCCCCCGTCTTCTCTCTTCAACAACATGTAATGTTGGCTCTGTGCCTCTTAAGCTCCTTAGACATAATAGGCATCTTGTGGGGCCTGGCAGCTCTTCCCAGTGAGTTCAAGTTATTGTGACTGTTGATGTACACAGTCAGTGCCCAATTATTACCCTGCAGCCTGTGTCTGATGGCTCTACCAAACTATTAACGTAGACCAGAGTATATGGGCAGAGAGGGCACAGCTGCTGATAGAGTCCTTTTACTATTCAAATATTTTCCCCAGGGGCACCTGGGTGCTCTGTCGGTTAAGTGTATGACTCTTGATTTCAGCTCAGGTCGTGATCTCGTGGTTGGCGAGTTTGAGCCCCACGTCGGGCTCCGTGCTTACAGTGCTGAACCTGCTTGGGATTCTCTCTTTCCCTTTCTGCCCCTCCCCTGCCTGCATTCTCTCCTTCCCTCTCTCTCTCTTTCTCTCAATAATTAAGTAAGTAAATAAATAAACAAATAAAACACCACTATTTTTCTCAGAGAACATTCCCTAGAGATACCACAGGGCATTCTGAACATTTCCAGAGAGTGGAAAAATCAAGTATGTGCCTCACAAGCCTCGTCCTGATCTGAATTACTCAAGAATCTCCCAATTGCTGCCTCTGGGGCGCTCTTTGTGAAACAACCATCAGTCAGGAGAACGGAACATAAGCCTCGATTCTGGAGCAAACCGCGGGAGAAGCAAGGGGGGAAAAGATACGGACTCTAAACCAAAGTACATAAAACTTTTAATGAATCAACCTTACAAAAGACAATGGCATCAAAACATTGGACATGTTGGTACAAAACTGGTCCTAGGTCATGAGAACTAATTCTGGTGATGGAGGGCTACCCGCTGCTGGCACGAGACACAACAGAGCAAGGCGACAGGCCCAGGGGCCCCGCGGGGGCCCACGGACAGCCACTGGTTATGAAACACGTTGGGCTAACACAGTCAAATTCCTTGTGGGGCGACAGAATCAACTCATTCACAAATACTGTGTGTTGTAATATCGGACTAGCAGATGCGGTTGGCGAGCTACCATATTTTCCAGAAAAAAAAAAAAAAAAAGAAAAACAAAACATGCACTGGAAGATAATATACACCCCCTAGTTTTATTGCCTTAAGAATTTTTGTTTATTTCACCTCTGTCATCTTTGTAAATTCTCTGAACGCATTTCTCCTATAAGACACACTCCTTTACCTTCTGCTTAGGAGTAAGCACAGTGCAAGTGGCAGAGCGATCTTGGGACACATCAGCCACCAAACGGTATGCCACCAGGTCAGAGGAACGAGTCTGAAAAGGCTCCATGGGACAGAACAGAGCACGCACACCGAAAACGAGAAACAAAGCTTGCAGTCAGAAAGTGCATCGTACCTTCCTGAAAATACAGTCTTCTTGCCGAAGTGAAGGCAACCCTTCAAGAAGCCAAGTTGCTCTGGGAAAGTGACCTTGACATTTCTGTGTTTACAAAGTACGTCTTCAGCTCCCCCTTGCCTTTCACGTTGATTATTCCCCGACATGTGCACGTGTACCCCAGCGTCTGAAGGATGAGGCTTGTCTCCTCGGTGACCTAGAAGCATGTGGGCAGATGAAGAAGTGGTCAGTGCCTACGTAACACGGCCTCCAGAAGCTCGCCTGACCACAAAGATCAGGAGCCCAAAGACATTCATGTTCTCTGGCCCTTTCATTCTACTCCTGAGACGTTAGAAGCAGAAAGAACCATGTGGGAGAAGAAAAGCGTTTTAAGGACAACATGTCATTTCACGCTGCAATGGTGACAGGCTCTAAACCACCTGAAAGGTCAAGTGATCTCCGTGGCGGAGTAAACCATGATGCTGGCATGATCCATATCGCGGCGGAGACCAGGAAACACGCAGGATCTGTTCACCCCCCACCGGAAAAATGAAGCCCAGACCCACGCTATGATTTCAACTACGTGAAGATGATGTATCCACATATAAGAGACCTGGAAAGGGGCGTCTGGGTGGCTCAGCTGGCTAAGCGTCCAACTCTTGGTATCGGCTCAGGTCACTACCTCATGGTTCATGGGATTGAGCCCCGCGTCAGATTCTGTGCTGACAGTGAGGAGCCTGCTTGGGATTCTCTCTCTCCCTCTCTCTCTGTCCCTACCCTGCTTCCTCCCTCTCTCTCTCAAAATCAATAAACTAAAAAAAGAGAGAGAAAGACCCGGAAAAAGAAAATGAATCAAAATATACTGTAGTGGGATTTTACAAGTTGTCATGAATGTCATTTCACAAAATCATAAATGTGAGTACCGGATTTAATTCACCTGGGAGAAGACACCGTGAGGCGCACCGCCGGCTCCTGCAAGTGGCCCCATGCTTCAGCGAATGCTCAAGAATAAAACGAAGAAGACGAGGGGTCTGCGCCAGCCTTGGCACGGGCGTGACCTGCCGAGTCAGGTCTCGAGAGCTTGGTCCCTTCCCAGAGCGGACACAGAGTGTGCCCGGGGCCGGGTCCCTCCCTTGCCGCCTGCCCCTGTGATTCCCGCCGCTTGGCCTCCACTACACAGTGGCGCCGGTCCCATCGGGTCAGAGGGCAGGGAACTTTCCGGGTAGCACAGCTCCTCTCTCGTAGGGGGGATAGGTCGTACCGAGTCCTGTCGCCTGTCAGCCCGAGCCTGCACTGTGCCATCCTGGGGAGCCGTGTCTGGGGGGTGACAGCTCACGGCTGCCCGGCAGCATCCGTCTGCCTGAGTGCCGGCAAAGCCTCTTGCTGAAGAGGCTTTCTTGAGCACAGAAGGGTGAGGTGAGAACAGACTAGGCCAATAGCTTCAGAAGTGAGGGCAGACCCCGTGTCAGGGACACGGTCCCAGGCAGGCCTCCCAGGAGGTATCTGGGTTTTGAGTAGAGAGAGAGGAGCTGTTTTTTCTGGAACCCCCTGGGAATGTTGCTCTGAAAGCATGGGAGAAAGCAGAAGAGGGGGAGGAGGGGGAGGAGGGGAAGGGGAGAGGGAGGGGGAGGGGGAGGGATTTCCTCCCACATCATCAGAGGATGAACATGGCACCTGTGGGGCCCCAGCCACCTTGGGCGTGTGGGTGACACACACGTGCTGGGCAGGCTTGTGGACGGTGGAGTGGGTGCTACTGGGGGGACCATGTAGTGGTGGGGGCAGTGGCCGCGACAGTGAGCCAGCCCCCCTAGGGCTTGGCGCCAAGGGCAGACACTGCCATGCAGCAGCGGCAGAAACAGGAAGGCTGTGCTTACGAGGACCCAGGAAAGCATCGAGGGGCCCCCAGCAGTGAGGCTGAAGTGTGCCGTGTAAAGATCTCAGGGACAGGCTGTCGGAATGAGCTAGAGAAACCACTCTGTCTTCCTGTAATTTGACTCTATGACCCTCCCCTAGCACAGGGGCTGATGTGTGGGTCCTTGGGACCCTTGTGACCAGAGCAAGGAAAGAGGGTCGTAGGTACCACATGCTCATGTCCTGTCTGTTGCTATGTTGGGCCCAAGTCCGGGGGAAGGACGAGTGTAGCCAGGAGGTGAAGCTGGGGCACAGGAAGGACTTTGGATCCTGGGTAGGAACTGAAGGAATAGGGACAGAGCTGGGAAACTCCGATGACAGACAGGAGCTCATGAGAAGGGTTCGCAGGCATAATCAGAGTTAGAGAATTCCACAGGCATCCCACTTCCAACCTGGCACAGAAAACACACACATCTTGCAGCGCCTGGGTGGCTCAGTCGGTTCAGCGTCTGACTTTGGCTCAGGTCATGATCTCATGGTTCATGGGTTCGAGCCCCGCGTCGGGCTCTGTGCTGACGGCTGGCTCAGAGCCTGGAGCCTGTTTCAGAGTCTGTGTCTCCCTCTCTCTCTGCCCCTCCCCTGCTCACACTGTCACTGTCTCAGAAATAAATAAAAAAACATAAAAAAAAAGAAAACACACACATCGTTTGGGGCCTTGGGGGTTAATTCTGCAGTCAGGGGGTTCACTGGCATGGAGGATCACCACCGGCGTTTGTGAGCTATCCCTTGGAATTTGTAACCCCATCCACACCATCACCATAAGGGGCGGGGGCCACCTCCCCGATGAACACTAGCCAGTACTCCTCCAAGTCCAGGGGCAGCCTAGCTGGGCGACCCGCGGGTTTTCCCCAGTGTTCCGTGAGCTCCCAGGCTAGAAAGCACGGTGGGAGTGGAATGCTCTTTAATCAAAGGAACCTGTTCTTCAGGCCCAGGAGGCGCTTCGAACGATCTCAGCATCATTCCGGACTTTTCCTGGTATCTTGCTCTGTTGCTTGCACGGAAGTAGAAATGCGAAGCTATTGGAGGGGAGATGACCACAGCCTCAGAAGGAATGTGCTGGACACACACCTCCCAGCGGCTGTACGGCGAGAATGCACGCAGATGAGCTTCTCTCCCGTTTCCTCCAGGCTCTGAGTGCACAGGGACCGGCTGGGGGGGATGGAGGGGGGAGGCTGCTCAGCCCTAAATCACCTGGAGTTTTATGAGGCCCAATATCCTCTTGGAGACGCACATAAGCTCAAACTCATTTTAAACTCTGACACTGACCTGCAGGGGATTTACAACCTCCAGGAGGGAGCGCTCTCCCCGACCAGCCTCTCTTAAATTGGTTTTGCTACGTATCCCAAGTGCTTGAAAACCACTTGGAAAGTCGTGAAGCGTGTTAAAGCCGCCATCTGTCTTCCGAATGTTCCAGGTGTGGGAAGGGGATCCTAGGTTGGCCTACAGGTTGGGAACGTGTGTCCTTGATAAAAGCACCCTCTTCCCGTGCCAAACAGAAGACCCCGCATTGTCTGGGATTGCTGCAGCATCCCTGGGCATTGAGAGCACCCAATGACATGCATGCAGGAAGCCCTCAAGGTCATGGTGTCATCAAGGCACGGGTCAACGAGGTGCCGAGATGGCAGACCATGCCTCCCGTCGTAGGCAACTGGGCCATCCATCTCCACACACCGTGCGTGCCCACTGCTCCAGCCCCATTTCCGGTGAGAGCTTCGTCTGGATTGGCTCTCATGAGCACAACCAGCTGGCTCTCTACCCTGGGCAATGGCGGTCTGGCTGGGAGGCCCCAGACATTCCTCTTCTCCCCACGCCACCTACCATCTTTCCTCGTTCTGTTGCTCGGTTGCTAACTTTCGGCAACGAAAGTGGCGGGAAAAAGGGGAGCATACAGGTCCTGTTCCAAATAAATTAAGCTAGGCGATAGAAAGTTCACAGAAACGGAATCTTCTTGAATGGATCTGGTGGGGAGTGTGAAAAGTAAGCAGAAGTTTAATGAGAAACCCACTCTTGGGCTTCTAGAATTCTAAATCTCCGTCATAATGTTAGGAGGCAAGGTTACTCGAGGACACGGGCCAAGCCAAGGCACACGGAACAGGGACTTTTGGAATTCTCTGTAAATGACCAAAAAAAAAAAAAAAAAGCCCATTTTTTGTGTCCCACTGTTTTCACACAAATTTGCCACTTGGCAGGAATCTATCTTTTAGATGAAGTGTGGAATCTGGAGTGAAATGAGGAATCGCTGATGTTTGAGGGTGGGGCCAATAGAAAGTTCCGCAGAAACGCACGTGGGCACACATTCTTCTCATTAGGAGAAGTCAGTCTCTCCTTGTACGTGTCTGGTACTGTGCCCAAGCACCCTCCCCTGAGTGGATTCCAGTGCTTTCCAGTCATTCATGATATCCCAATCCCATGCTGGCCCGACTTGGCACTGCCATTTCATGTCACCCCGACTCTCATCCCTTGTCTTTCCCCAGTCGGCTCCTTTCTGCCTCCTTCCAATTCAGCCTCCGGGACAGGAAGTCTGGGGGTGCTGTCTGGTTTGGGTTGTACACTCCCTCTCCCTTGCAGAGCTCTTTTCACCGTGCTGGTGCCAGAAGATGAAAGAGGAGAGAAGGTTCCAGCCTTGACTTGATCCTCAGGTGTCAGACTGCAGTGTTGATTGTTGGCAACCACTGACTTTCTCCAACGCAGTCACCTTTACATTATTACATTTCTAAATCACTGTTAACAGTGACGATTCGTGTCAAGTTCAGGTGCGTTCATGGTGTTTCAAGGTTTTCTCAAGATTTAAGTAACTTCCAAGGTTCTTTGTTCTAATATTCCATCATCATTATGATGATGCTCATTGATGATTTCTGAGAGGACAGACCTCACCCATGATGACAGAGAAGCCTGAATTACCTGTATTTTGTCCAGCACGCCGGTGCTATCCATCCTGCTGGCCACGTTCACGGTGTTGCCCCAGATGTCGTACTGTGGCTTCTGAGCTCCAATCACACCGGCTATCACAGGTCCGTGGTTAATACCTGCCACACATCAGAACCAGGTTAACGAGACTCAAGCTACAGCGACTGTCTCACACAGCAAAGTTTCACAAGAATATTTCTGCATCATCAAAAAAAAAAAAAGAATATTTCTGCATCATCATCATGAAACCAACATTAGCTCAACTCACGGAATTCTAAAACAAAGAAAAATAATTGTTTCCTTTCTCGACCTTGATTCATGTAGATGTAACCATATATCATTATTATTCCATAATAACATAAATTTGGTTATGCTTTAAAAAAAACAAACATTACATGGGGCGCCTGGGTGGCTTAGTTGGTTAAGCGTCCGACTTTCGCTTAGGTCATGAACTCGCGGTTCGTGGGTTCGAGCCCAGTGTCGGGCTCTGTGCTGACTGCCAGCTTAGAGCCTGGAGCCTGTTTCAGAGTCTGCGACTCCCTCTCTTTCTGACCCTCCCCTGCTCACGCTGTCTCTCTCTCTCTCTCTCCTAGAAATAAAATATTAAAAAAAAAATCAAACATTATAATAGTTTTCTTATTTTTTTAAGTTTTTAAAAAATGTTTGGGGCACCTGGGTGGCTCAGCTGGTTAAGCGACCAACTTCGGCTCAGGTCATGATCTCACAGTTCGTGGGTTTGAGCCCTGCATCAGGCTCTGTGCTGACAGCTTGGAGCCTGGAGCCTGCTTTGGATTTTCTATCTCCCTCTCTCTCTGCCCCTCCCCCACTCGGCTCTGTGTCTCTCACTCTCAAAAATAAACAAACATTAAAGAAATTAAAAAGTTAAAAAAAATGTTTGTTTTGGGTAGGGAGAGAGAAAGAGAGAGGGAAGGGGAGGGGGAGGGACAGAGAAAAAGGCAGATAGGAGGATCCAGAGTGGGGCTTGAACTCATTGCAGGGCTCAAACTCATGAGCTGTGAGATCATGACCTGAGCCAAAGTGGCCCAAAAGAGGCACCCTGGCATCCCTATAATAGTTTTCTATGTTGCTATATAATCTTAGACAATACATGATCACTGTTTTCTAGTAGTGCTGTGGTTGATGTTGATTTTGAAATCTACATCTTTCTGTTTTAAACAGCTACTCTGAGTGGATACACCGCATTTGCTGGCAGTTCTGCCACTGACGGACTTTTGGGTTCATGCCAACATCTTGCTCAGTCTGCCACTTGCCCCCACACCAGTGTGGCATTTTCTACCTGCTGTGCACTGTAAAAGTCTGGGGTTTCTCACAACAGCCCTGTGGGGTGGGTACTGTTAGCATCGCCTCTGGCTTCAGGCGAGAAAGCAGGGGAGGGCGCCATGAGACAGGCAGCAGATGGCAGCGGCAGCCAGCTCCGTGGCCCCTGCTGGTAAGGACGCAGCCATGAGCTTCCCGTGCACAAGGCTTCTTCCCACCTTTCAGGTTGTTGCCTTTGATGTGTCCCAATGCCAAGTTTACTGAATTCCAGAGGAGCATGTTTGTGCCTTTGATTTGCATCGCTAAAGCACCTTCCAAAGGGCTCCCTCAACGGGCACCGTGCGAGTGAGGGAGTCTACCCGTATCAACTTTAGAACAACAGATCTAAGTATGGGCAAAGTAGAGATTTTGATGGAGTTCAGATTTGAGGAAATTCTCTTGGGGGAGGCTCCCAAGAGCCTCACATTTGGAAGGGTCCTGGGGTACACAGGCTCACCCCTGGGGAGCCACCGTGACCCCCAGGCCATCTCCAGACAAGTGCAGGGATGTCTCTCAGGCTCTGTTGCTTGGATTCTGGACCCCCTTGAGCTGGGTTCCTTGCAGCTCTGCACCCATCAGACTGAGGATCTCCTCACACACACTGATTCCCCAGGGACAGCCATCCATAGGTGGCTGGGGAAACTCAGGAGGGGTCACTCTCCAGCTCAGCTGGCCCCCACCTTGCCCATGTAACTGCCCAGATAATCAGGCAGCCCAGGCCATCACTAACACAGGAGGCCATCGCTCTGACTGCCCTTTCTGTTACTGCAATCATAACCCCATCGTTATTACGCGCTGACACGTGAGCTCAGCGTGAGCTTTCAGGCTGCCCGTGCCATCTCCTTAGAAGTCTGCTCAACTTCTCTAATCAGAGAGGCCCGGGATTCTCCCCCAACTCCGTGCACCAGGTAGAATGAGTCCTTGCCCCGGGATCTCAGTTCAGACCCACAGACCCACAGTTATTCTGGCAGTGGTGTGGAGGAAGGCCACAGAGAGAGAAATGGAGATATTGACTTTGGCTGACTATCCCTCAGAACTGAGTCCTCTCCTAGATCTAGAACCCCTGTCTCACTACAGGAGTCAACCTGTGTTTATTAAAGAGGATGTTTCTGAGACCCCTCTTCCCACTGCTGAGGTGCTTAGCCTACTACGGCTTGCTAGAGACCCGAGGCAAAGCTTCCTCTCTGCAATGCAGACGTAGGCAGGAAACAGTAGAAACAGCGTTCCACAAAATCTTTGAAGGTATGCACGAGGTGAGAAGGAAATTCTGCTTTGCTTTTGCGGAAGACTCAAACTCCACCCTGTGCTGCAGACACCCCAGATAATTCATTCCAGCCGCTGGCTGCTGGCCGGTGCCCTCAAGCCCCGTCTGCATCAGATTTCCTCCCGGCTGCCGAGTCCGGCTTGGTCAGCGCCTGGTGGGGCGGCGGGGAAAGCCTGGGCTGATGACGCCTGGCACGGGGCTCAATCTCCACTTAGTGCAGGAACGTGCCCACATTCTAGTTCCCGCTAACTGCTTCTGCAGCTTGACACGCAGAAGAGGAAGTTAAGAGTGAATTCAGCATTTCTTATTTGTATCATCTATTTTTTTTTTTTTAAAAGTATTACTCTTCCAAGTTCCTACCATGAACTGCCACTGGATGGCACTATGTACCGAGGGCAGCGGGCAAGCGGACCCCCGAGAGAGAGGTCGAGGGGTGGGGACAGGTAGCAGCAGAGCCTGTGAAACACTGAGCTTAGTCTTCCTCAGAAATCTAAAAGAGCTGGCACGTGGGTTGAGAGTATAGATATTATTAGTTATTCAATAATCAGCACAAGATAAACACTCAATAAATCCTTATTGAACAAGGTCTATTCAATTGCTCACATAAATTTGGAAACTACTAAGGTCCAAAGCAAGAAAACTGTAATTTTGGGGGAAGTAAAGCATGTGACTAGCAAACAGTCGCCTCTATTTCATCTTGCAGTGAAAAGCAGTATTATTTTGGATTGAATATGCTTAATAATAGAGCAGATCATTTCACCATAGAATAGACATTTTTTTTTTTTTACAAGGGTAGTTTGAAAGTTGGGGGGGCTCATTTCCTAAGCTGTCAAAACCATAAAGAAGCTCGAGCATCAAGGGGACACCTGCACGTTTGATGTGGTCAGCAGTGGGGAGGGAAGCCTCCCAGCTGCCTGGCCCTTCTCACCTTGGTATAAGGTGACGCCCATTGTACACGGACGTGAGAAAAGTACAAAGCAAAATGTGTCCAGGCACTAACGATGAACAGAATATACAAGCAGTCAAGAGGCTTCATTTTGCTCAAGAGATATATTCCTGGGTTTTAAAATTCAGAACGTAGGCAGAGCAAAGGAAGAAAATCGCTCTCGATTTATTGGGATTTTTTTTTTTAAGTTGAAGTCTATATCCAAAAGAAGTGAAAAGCCATTCAGATGGAATTTATTAAAAAAGCTCCTCTTATGCAGACTTGCTTTCAGAAGCAGCAAAATGTGTTGCCAAGAGGAACATAAAATGGTCAAAGAAGCTCTTACCAATCATGAACGGCCATAACCACAAATATGCCGAGAGCCCTGTGCTAAGCTGAGCGTGTAAAGCGCACTTTTTATTTTTATAGACATTTGTAAAAGGCAAGTAAGCACAAAACATGCTCATGAAGCAGCTTAAAGTCAGGGAAAACTTCTAGAAAGTTCACATTTTTAAAAATATTTGTGAGACAGAAATCTTCAAATTCTAAAGACAGTGGCCTTTACTCTCAGAGCTGAACATTCAGTCAGAAAAGCTATAGCTAGTTCAGAACCTGGGGCATACGTTTGGGGCGTCTGGAGATTTGTGACCCCAGGAGTGTGGGACTATTTCAACTATTCTAAGATGCCTTAATATTTTTTCATTTTTTACATTGCCTTAATATTTTTTCATTTTTTACATTTTTGGGCTCTCCGAAGCCTGGATGCATCTTAGAGTCCATGCTAATTTCACTGGCAGCAGCTCCTGAAATAACGGCGTGGTTTACAGTCAATGGCTCCTCGCGATGGTCTAAAGCCACGCACGCACGCGGTGGCTTGCGGAGGAGCCCAGGCAGGAGGGATGAGGCCGCGGGACTGACATCCAGCTCACGGTCCGCTTGCTAGACATAGTGCTCGCAGCTGGGTCCAACCAAAGGGTGCTCTGTTTTCTAACCTGTGCCAAGGTGCCTCAGAGGCTGCCAACTTTCCTGAGCCCGCTGGCGCCCCGCTTGCCAAAATCCAATCCTCCCGCATTCCAGACACACTGGGAAGACTACTCCGGCCTGGCAAGATGGCCGACACCCCTTCCGCCCTCCCCACCCTCCCGGAAGTCTGAGCTCTTCACACACTTCCGGTGCCCTTGTTCTTACGCCACGCCCTCCGCACCCCTCCCCCGGAAGTCTGAGCTCTTCACACACTTCCGGTGCCCCTGTTCTTACGCCACGCCCTCCGCACCCCTCCCCCGGAAGTCTGAGCTCTTCACACACTTCCGGTGCGCCTGTTCTTACGCCACGCCCTCCGCACCCCTCCCCCGGAAGTCTGAGCTCTTCACACACTTCCGGTGCGCCTGCTCCTTACGCCACGCCCTCCGCACCCCCTCCCCCGGAAGTCTGAGCTCGTCACACACTTCCGGTGCGCCTGCTCCTTACGCCACGCCCTCCGCACCCCGGAAGCCAGCGCGCTTGACACAACATACCCACTCGCAGCTTGAAGTCATTGAAGGAGTGCTTGTTGATAGCGTCCAGCTTCGCCACCATGGCAAAGGCAAACTCCACCATGGTGCCGATGTGCATGTACTGCCTCTCGGGCTCCTGAGTGGAAACACACACGGGAATGTGGGGTTAGAGGTCAGCCGGCCGGGGACCGGTCCCTGAGCCCCAAACCTGGGCTCCAGGCAGACAGCAACGCTTCAGGTAACAGGGCTGTAATGCCCGGCAGACAGGTGTGAGGGTCACCCCGCATCACAAGGAGGCCTGCGCCCCAGTTCATCCTTGTGACCCCGGCGAGACCTGAGACAGTGGAAGACTCGGAACAGGACCTACGTCGTCTTAACCCGGAAACCGCCGACAGGACCCTTTGAGAAGTGGCTGGCTTCCGGTTCTCTGCTTGCCGCGCACCCCTGTCTCTCCGGTTCTCCGCTGGCCTCTGGCTCCGAGAGGCTGACCTCTGGTCCCCTGCTGGGCTGACCAATGGGAGGGCCAGGGAAAGGTGGGGGGGGGCAGGGGAGAGAGGTGGGGTCCTTTCCTCCTCTTCCTCACTCCACACCTGCCACACAGCTCACCTGCGTTGTGGAAACACCTCTCCCCCTTTGCCCCTTTAGGGGGAGGGTGTTATGTGTCTCCCCCACTCTCCCAAATTCATTACCTCCAAATCCTCAGTATTTGTTTTGCAGCTGCTTATCGCCATCATTAAAGAGGAGATTAGAACCAAATGAGGTCATTAGTATGACTAATCCAGCATGACTGGCGGCTTTCTAGAAAAGGAAGTTAACGGGGCACCTGAGTGGCTCAATTGAGCGTCCGACTTCAGCTCAGGTCATGATCTCACGGTTCGTGGGTTCGAGCCCTGCATCGGGCTCTGTGCTGACAGCTCAGAGCCTGGAGCCTGTCTTCGGATTCTGTGTCTCCCTCTCTCTCTGACCCGCCCTGCTCATGCGGTCTCTCTCTCTCTCTCAAAAAGAAATAAAACATTAAAAAAATTTTAAAAAAATAGAAAAAGAAGTTAGCACACAGACACACACACACAGAGAAGACCATGTGAAGACACAGGGGGAAGATGGCATCTAGAAAGCGAGGACCTAGGCCTTGGGAGACACCAACCCCTTCTGCACTTGATCTCTGACCTCTTGTCTCCAGACTTGGGAGACAATGCATTTCTGTGGTTTAAGGGGCCCGGGCTGTGGGGTCCTGTTACAGCAGCCCCAGCCAACAGCTGCCTGCCTCTCCTGTCCCTGGGGGACTTATCACCCTCGAGGAATAGTCATCATACACATAGAGCTGTCGGAAAGACCAGTTCGAGGCTTCCAATGAAGGTAAGTGAGAATTTCTATCCACATTTACTACTAATTCCTATTTCTGTTACTAATTTCTATTTGCTATGAATTTGTAACACCTGTTAACATTTCTTTTTGAAGGTCATCTTTGTAAAATTTCTATTTTCGGTTATATTTTAAACACAGATTCTTTATTAGTATATGCATATAATTCATAAAAGGTATTTACATGTCCTAAAGGTTCCCGCTCCCCCCATATTTAATGACTGGCGGCACCAAGAAGTGGGGTGAGATGCAGACCCAGCCCTGCCCCGCATCTGTGGCTTGCGGTCTGGGCGTCCGTCTAGAATCACTGCGGTCCTTTATCTCCCTCACTAGTCTGTGAGCTCTCCAAGGGCACAGATGATGTTCTATTCATCTGTGTCTCCACAATATGAAAGCGTCTGTTCCAGGAGAGGCACCTGAGATGTGTTTACTGAGAGACTGCATTTAGATCGCGGGTGGTGGCTGAGAGGAGATGTGTAGGAGGGAGAGCCTCGTCGAGCTTTGGTGGAAGGTCAGTGTCAACTGATGCTCATTTCAGAAACATATGCCCGGGGGGAGGGGGGCATTGACACACCCACTGAAGTGGGGGAAGGCTCCGAAGAAGAGGACACAGGGTATTCAGGCGGGGCAGCGGGGGACAGCCTCAGCCGGCTGGGGAAGGAAAGAGAACGTCAGTAAGGACACTGGAAACACTTGAGAGAAGAGCAGGCGAGGCGGCCCTTTGTGGAGCTCAAGTGTTCGATCCCGCAGGGGGGCCCAGCAGAGCTTGCTCAGATCGAGAGGGCTCTCGAGATGGTGAAACGGTAGGGACACGGTGACCATGGGGAGCGTTTACCAGGAGGGTGAAGGCAAACAAGCTCAGAGAGTTTCAGGAGGGAGGGGGGAGCAGGACAGTGGAGACCGTGGATGGGTCCTGCATGCTGAAGGCGACAGGGAGACGGAGAAAACCAAGGTAATGGCCCAAGGAGAAAGGAAAATCACAACAGGGTTATTCACCAAAGACACAGAGTATCTTAGTAACAGGAATCAGGGAGGGCAGCACCAGGCAAGTCTCTCCATGTCGACTCTGATGACACCGGAATCGGATCATTCTTCGTCCTGGGGCCGTGTCTGCGCCCGCCCTGCAGGATGCTGAGGAGCCCCCCAGCCTCTGCCCCGAGGTGCCCCTGTCCAGGACTGACAACCCAAGATGTCCCGAGACATCGCTCAATGACCCCGAGGGGACAAGCAGCCCAGTACTGAGAACACTGCACTAAATGACATGAACATGAGCAGAGACACTGAGAACGTCCTTCCTCTCCTCAGATAAAGCCCAGCATTCTAGAGAAAAACTGATGAAATCCTTCTGTTGCTACAAATCCTCAACTTAAAAATTGTGAGAGAAAATCCAAACAATTTAAACGACTGGAACCATGAGACAGACTGCCAGCTAATGTCAGGGAAAATGGAGTTATTATTTACTTTTTCATTATGTTTTTTTTTTTTTTTAAATTTGAGAGCGAGAGAATGAGCGGGGAAGAGGGGCAGAGGGAAAGAGACAAGAGAATCTCAAGCAGTCTCCACACTCAGTGCAGAGCCCGACCCAGGGCTCGATCCCACAACCCTGGGACTGTGACCCATGCTGAAATTAAGAGTCAGACGCTCAATGACTGAGCCACCCACACATGCCACAGAATCACTGCGTGACAACAGTTCTACTTTTTTTTAAAAAAATCTTTTTTAATGTTTTATTTACTTCTGAGAGAGAGAGAGATAGGGAGAGAGCGAGAGAGACAGCTTGAGTACAGGAGGGTCAGAGAGAGAGGGAGACACAGAATTGGAAACAGGCTCCAGGCTCTGAGCTGTCTCTCAGCACAGAGCCCGATGGGGGGCTCAAACCCACAAACCGCGAGATCATGACCTGAGCCGAAGCTGGATGCTTAACTGACTGAGACTCCCAGGCGCCCTGACAGTTCTACTCTTCTATCAGAGTTTGCTCATGTTTCTGGTCTCATGACCCACTGGGAAGGTGTGATGTGGAAGTTCATGCCCCCCAGCCCTTTGGAAACATCTTGCTCCTAAACAGGAAGCTTGGGGGCGCCTGGGGAGCTCAGGTGGTTAAGCATCCAACTATTGGTTTCAGCTTGCGTGGTTCGTGGGTTTAAGCCTGGCTTTGGGCTCTGCGCTGACAGTGTGGAGCCTTCGTGGGATTCTCTCTTATCTCCCTCTCTCTCTGCCCCTCCCCTGCTCACATATACGTGCACACACACACATACTCTCTCTAAAACTAAATAAATAAACTTAAAAATATAAAATAAACTTGAAGCACAAACTCTTAAATCAACAGGCGGAATCCTGTGTAGTGAAGATCACAACAGCAAGGAGGGAAGATTTGCCACAGGGGGGAAATGGTTTGCTTCCTATTGAACCAAGGCAAGGCACACGAGCTTCCTTCCCTGATAAATGATCTCCCGATATGTCTCCATGCAGCGGGGCTTAAGCTGGAGGTCTTATATGACCTCAGTGATGAATGAAGAGACTGAGTTCTGGGAGTGGGGTTTAAATCCAATGTCCATAACTCACTTGGGCTTTGCAAACCCTGGAAAAAATTATGCTCGGTCTCAAGAAAGACTCAGTTCATTTCAAAAAGTCCTTATAACTGAGCTTTTGAAAAATATTTGATGACAGTATAAAGCAGCTCTTTCTCCCACGACCCAAATGATTTCTGTGGGATGTCTCCAAATATTTAATCGACTTCCAGGGACATGGCGATAGACCCATAGAGGGCCCCAGAACCCATTCTGCAAGCTGTTTGCTTTGGAAATTCCACCAGTGAGGAACCCCGCTTAAGTAAATGCATGTTTATGGAGGTTATTTTATAACCCAAGTGCCTGCTGGGTAAACACCGAGCTGATTGTTTTAGGCTGAAATTAACATACACCTCAACTCCTTTCTTGACTTCTCCTCTCACCTCCCTGCCTTTCCTCCACCCATCAAATATTCACTGCCCACTTGCTCTGGTGGCATCTGCCTGATGTGAAGGTTCAGAACCGCTGCCTGGAGCTGTTCTCCCACCTCAGGCCCCTGGGAGGTCCCCTGAGATCTGTTCCTTCTCTAAAGGGAGCGTCGGCTCTCTCCTCAGTGAGCTGATTAGCAGAGCCCGAAGATGGGCTCGCACCTGGGGAGCCCCTTGAGTGTCCAGGATCTGTCGGAGGTCACCGCTGGGACTCACGATGGCAGTGTCAACCAAAACTCCAAGGCACGAAGTAATATTGGTGGAAAATGTCCTGACTGCTAGGTCATCCGTGGATCCCTCTAGACTCACTGAACTCAGATTCAGGTGGACTCCCACTGTTTCCTGCTCACCTTACTTTACAAAGAAAGTATTTTATTAAAATGCACATTAGGGGATATTCTAGCAAGCACTCCCTCACCCCCATCACGTTTTAAACCATTTCCCGTGAGAAAGTTAGTTGCCAAGCACACGGCTCACTGCAGACCCACTGACATGGTTATGAGGGCCCGTACCAGACGTGGCCAGGTTTTCAAATATATTAAGAGGAGTAAGAAGATTGTTCGTACGAACGCTGGAACGCTGAACTCGTGGCGGCTGCTGGAAATTCTCGAACGCTCAATAGCAACAGCGCGTGCATGAAGGTATTTAATCCTCACGCTGAGTCCCATGAGGGACTTCCCGTCTTCATTCCTACTATGCAGATGGGGAAAGGGAGGCCCTGGATGGTTAATAAGTAACTCGTGCAAGTGGCACCACCAGGCTTCACAGCCGGGGTCTGA